TGAGAATTGCAAAGTTATTTTTAATTAGTATTCATTTTTACTTAATTTCTCTCTCTCTATATAAAAGAATTCAAATTTAGATAGCCAATGCGGTTTACTCAACAGAGATGAGATGAGGACTCAAAATCTAAGAATGAAAATTTTATCTTATGTAATAACATGTTAGAATAAAAAATTATTTTATGAAATCTCTCAAACCCAAAACTCAAGCAAAACCTTTACGAAGATCCAAATTAAACAGAAGCAAAAAAAGAAAAAAAAGATCAATAAGTTCACAAGAAAAGAAACAAACTAGCCAAGTGGGGCAGCTCAATTGATTACAGAGGACAAAAATTACGGTTTGAGTCCCCCCAAATGTCACATTGGGGAGTGATAAGAAATACTGTAATCCCAGACCACGGCCCTAAATTCCGGATTAGTTTCATAGGTAGGCAGTGAGGACACCGAGGAAATCTGATTCGTCTCAAAGAGGTAATTATGATCGGTCATAAAAAAAAAGAAAAAAGAAACAAATCCTGATTAATAACTGCTACCTAGCCATGCATGCCCTAGTTAATTTTGGCCAAAACCACCACTAGGAGCAATGGAACTAACACCACTACCACTTGTCCAGCCCCATCCATCATGCCCATTCAAAACCTCATCCAAGAACGACATATCTGATAAGCTTTGCACCGGTGCTGATAATGCAACTGGCAATTGTGGAAGTGAATTAACCTTCTTCTTCCTTTCCCTTGCAGCAGCAAGTTTCATCTTCAAATCTTCTATGGAATTCTTGAATTGCTCAACTTCTTCAAAACCCATATCCTCAACGGAGAGATCACACCATTCTGTGAATAACAAACCATTATTTTTTGCCTCAATGATTGTTTGAAGATGCATATTCTCTTCTTTAAACTTATTTTGAGTGCCTCATATTTCAGCCTTAGGATTTCAATAGCCTCTTGGAACCTCCTTTTAGCAGCACGGTTGTACCGATGGTGATACCCTCCTCTCCTCTGTCGACTCCGTAGTAGCGGTGGATGACGGAGTTCGGTCGGGGTAGCCGCAGGCAGAGAGCTTTCCTTTTTGAGAAGCGATGACCAAAGCGGTTTCTGCTTGGCACAAAAGGGATAGTTCAGTGATTTTGTTGAAAAGCCCTAGTTTGCGTTTCGAAAAGGTCACGCAACGCTTTTTTTTTTCCTCCACTTTCTTGATCTTAACCTTTTCCTTGCTTATGTTTGGCTTTCTTACAGTGTTTGCTTCAGAGGAAGAATCCATTGATATCCAAAGACAACAAAAAAGAAAGAAAGAAAAGACAAAGAAAAGAGGAAGGTTTGAGAGCACAATGAGAAAAACTTTCCAGACAAACATTGTCCGAAGATGTTGGATGAATTTCCGTTTTATTACCTACACATTCAATCTCTTTATTTATTTATTTATTTGTTTCCTATTCTCTGTTTATTTGGATGAGAATAATTCTCTTATGGGCTCAAATAAGAGGTTCATATTCTAGACGGTACAGGAAAAGACAACAGAAAGAGGAAACTTAAGGAATTAAAGGAAAAAAAAATCCTTGATTGACACTACTCCTAGCACGATAGCTATGGACCTAGCATTGGATCTCCATAAAAGTCACTAAAGGTCCAGAATTTTATTATCCATCGATAAACTATAAATAAAAGGTAAAACTTACATATATGTGATTTACTCGCTCTCATATATGCTGTCACTATACGTACGTCACCCCCCTTTGGATATGCTATTACTCTGTGCACAATGATGTAATTTGATAATTACTTTTTTTGAAAAATAATTCAAATATTGATTAAATGATCATATTAAAATAATTTTAAAAAATTTATTAAATGAATGTCATTGATTTAATCATTTATTTACAAAAAAATGAAAACGTTGATTTTTGATTTGGAAATCTTTGATTTGCATTTAGAATCCTTACAAAATTAATAATTCATTTTATATTATTTTATGTGAGAAAGTATCTAATATTATTTTAGACAATTTTACCTAATGTTCACCAACATGACGTTGTTTTAAGGTTGAAAAATTAAAACAAATGTTCACCAAAGTTATCTAAAATAACTTAAAAAAAATAACCCTTATTTTATATTATCGTTTAGAATCCATAAAATATCAATCCATTTAACTTTATTCCTCCTGCATAACAAACAAAAGATGAGCATAACCCTTCGTAGTCTTCCTTTTTATCCGCTCAAAAACATTATATCAAAAGTCAAAACAGAACCTTTACAAGGTATTGGGATAAGATACGTTCGCGTTAAAACATTGCATTGAACCGCAAAATATGGGTAATAGCCTAATAGGTCCGTGATAATAGATTAGTAAATTTGCATCCAGTCTAGATCAGTGTTACCAGTGATTCAGTGAACGACCAAATCTAAGTAATTCTCACATTCACCAAAACCCACGACAATCCAAGTAATTTAAAATATTAAAAAAAAACTTTTAGTACAAAATAAATTAATTTAAACATATTTATAATCATATAAAGTGTAATGTCATATATATATATATATATATTTCTATTTACTTGAAACAATATTTATATGATTTTTTAACTTTATATACATGGTTTAAAGGGAACGATGCCCATATAGTTTATTTTGATTATTTAAGTGAATTTTTATAATATAAAAGATGTTCATAAATTTTACTCTTTGCTTTTTATTTTAGCTCATTGTAAATTATATTTTATTTTTTTCTTACAATTTTAATTAAGATTATTTTCATATAAGCTACTGGCTAATATTTAATTAATTATTTTTCTTTCAAGATAATTTTAAAATTTGATTAATCAATAACTATTAATGTTGTTAAATAATTTCAAGGTAATTTTATGTATAGATAGAAAATATATATTTTAGACAGAACATGATTTTCAATTCAAATAAAGTCAATATGACATTAATTCGCAATTCATTTTATTTGTTTATATTTTTAAACAACATTATGTAATTAATCTTCTCTAAGATAAATTCAAATATCTGCATGATTATTTACTGGAAGGATATTAAATTTACTATAGATAGACAAAAATATATCTATTGTAAACAAAAAGTGAGATTAGTTATTTCTTGTTAATAAATTTGTTTTTATTCTCGTTAGTAATTAATAATTGCAATATTCGATAGCATTTGTAAATGGCTATTATTGTTTACTGAATAATTATTTGTTTCCATTGAATAACTAGTAGTTGTAGATGATCTTCTATATTACATTTAAAAATTTAGTAAGAAATTTGAGATTGGTTATTGCTTGTCATTGATCATTTGTTTTTAGTATAACTAAAATTATTAGATCATGTTCTTTTTTATGAACATACATGATGTTATGAAAGAATTAATGAATATGTATGTAAAGAACCTTGGGATACACACCACTGTTGAGATATATAGTCCCACATTGATTAGATGGGCAACTAATATGGTCTTTATAAGGCCTTGGGCACTCCTACCCCTTGAGCTAGCTTTTGGGGTGGTGTATCCCAAGGTTCTTAACATGTATCAGAGCCTCACCGTCCCCCGCTTTAAAAAGTGGAATTAAAATAAAAAAAGCACAAAAAGGTGAACCAAAAATTGGACCTGTGCAATTCCACGCTTCTAGCCCAAAGGGCTCTTGCGTGAGGGGGGCGTGTTGAGATATATAGTCCCACATTGATTAGATGGGCAACTAATATGGCCTTTATAAGGCCTTGAGCACTTCCGCCCCTTGAGCTAGCTTTTGGGGTGGTGTATCCAAAAGCTAGGTCTAAGGGTGAGAGTGCCCAAGGTCTTATAAACTCCACATTAGTTGCTCATATAAACAATGTAGGACTATATATCTCAACACGCTCCCTCACACGAGAGCCCAATAGGCTTGAAGAGTGGATGAGGGACACCACGAGGCTCTGATACCATTTGATAAGAACCTTGGGATATAAGAGAAAGTGGGGGCGCCGAGGTTTGAACCCGGGACCACGAGGCTCTGATACCATGTAAAGAACCTTGGGATACACCACCCCAAAAGCTAACTCTAAGGGTGAGAGTGCCCAAAGTCTTATAAACTTCACATTAGTTGCTCATACAAACAATGTGAGACTATATATCTCAACAACCTATCTTATGTTAGCTTGTTATCATATTAAGTGATTAAGAATTATAAATAAGGTTTTTTTTTTTAGAAATATTTCATCGCTTTGCGACTAGCCTGATTCAAGATGAGTTCAAGATTAAGACTTTAAATTTCTCTAAATAAGCTGCTGCAGAGATCAAACACATGCTCTCTCAACTGCTCAACTTCTATGCACCAACTTACCTTTGATAAATTATAAATGAAGTTCTATATCACTATATCAGAACGATGATTAAGAAGAATTTTGCGAACTATTTATTCCATTAAATAATTGTTACTCTCTTTTTTTTTTATACATAATAATTGTTACTTTGATTAAAGATATTTTTGTCTTTACGTAGCGGTTATTTATATTTTTTTAAATTTCCCTATCGATGTGTAGATTTTCCAATTACTTGGGTTCTGCAGCAAATTTCTTTCCAACTAGTCCTGTCCGGTTGATTTTGGTGGTACTTATCCACATCTCCAAAATATGTTCTGTGATCCTATTTTACAATTTAAGCAAATTATGTCTCTCAGGATGTGGTATTAATTTCCCTGGAAATTGGGTACGAGGGTAATACCTACATGAATCTATTTTACTTTTTAAATATGAAATTAATGTTTCTCATATTGTGGGAAGATAAACTTTATCTCTTATGCACATAAAAAAAATATGTATTTTTTCTTTCTTCTTCTTATATAAGTTCATACAAACACCATATAATTTTATGTGTGTACGACAAACTTTAATCCATTCAAATATATAAAATTAATATCCCCGTCACAAATCACAAAGGGCCTTGTTGCCCAACATCAAACTACTAGAATTGAATCAATTACTTATTCTAGGAGACTTTATTAAAAATTGATTATAACATCCAGCTGTTTCAGTAGGCATATAATTTGGCTGGAAGGCGGGGAGAAAGGAGAACCTCTAATGGAGTTGCTTTAGGAATGGTTAAACCTGGGCTTTCAGTCATGTCAACTGGTTGATTTGATGGGGTTGCAAATTCAAATCCATGAAGCAGACGAGCAAGTGTTAAATGAAGAACTTGGAGTGCAAACGACATTCCAGGACATGACCTTCTTCCAGAGCCAAATGGAATGAGTTCAAAGTTTTGGCCTTTAACATCAATTGCATGGCTCGTGAGAAATCTCTCGGGTCGAAAAGCAGAAGGATCTTTCCAAATCCTTGGATCCCTATGAATCTTCCATAAATTAACCACCAAGCGGGTGCCAGCAGGGACATGATAACCAGCAACATTACAATCTTCTTGGGCTTCCCTTGGTCCTAGGAGGGGACCAGCTGGGTATAACCGGAGGGTTTCCTTAATAATGGCTTCAAGATATACAAGGTTTCTAATGTCTGACTCCTCAACTTGCCGATCCATCCCAACATTCTGGTCCAATTCTTCTTGTGCCTTTTTTAATGCTTGGCGATTGTTGAGGAGTAAAGAGATGGCCCAAGTAAGCGTGCCTGCTGTGGTATCACTCCCACCAAGTATAAGAGCCTGCATTTCGCCAAGAAAAGACAACAATAGTATAGTAATCAAAATACAAGACTAAAGTATTATCTATATTGCCAACTATGGTGGGGCAATATACCCCGTAAAGAGTGAGTTAAAGATTAGACTTATATCTTACAAAAGTGTGAGTTTGAATCCTACTAGCAGATATGAGGATTTTGTTCATGAACAAGGTATAATTCCTCTCAGAAATTTTTAAAGAAATTAGGATTTGTCTAAACCCTGATGGGATGTTAATGTCTAACAGCATATAAACTTTTTACACAAAAAGAAAAGATAATATCTATACTACAGGCTAGACTTAGTTATGGGTAGGTTGCAAAGTAACTTATTAGGAGTCTATTTTCAATATAATAGGAGTAGGTACTTTCTTATCAAAAAAGAAAAAATAAAATAAGAATACGGAGAAAAATAACTATATAAAGATAAGAGTAGTGTAAATATTTTTTTTTTTATATTTAATAAAAGATGTACAGTGATCGGTAAAGGAAATATTTTGAACTTACTAGGCAGGTGGATTTGATGCTTGTATCAGAATCATATTGGAAATTTGATAGGTGACCACCCTCTTGAAGCGATAACATCACATCAATGAAGTCCTGCTCACCCTCTGCCTTAACCTCACCATTAACTCTTTGCATGCGATGCTCCTTTAGCCAGCCTTCAAGTATGTTATCTAACTCCTTCGCTGTCTTCTTCATCGTCCTCTCATGCCCCTGCACATCGAACCAACGCAAAAACGGAAGCGCGTCTGAAACCACAAAAATGCCAATAAGATGAAAAAACTGATTAATTGCCTTCTGGCACCGCCTTGCTTCATCATCATCACAGGTGGCTGAGGAACCAAAATAGCGTTTCCCTGCTACCATTCTAACCACCATATTCAGAGTCAAATCCTCTAACCATCGGTTTAGTTCTACAAGCACGGAAGGTGAGCTATTTTGGACCCAAGAGTTGTATAGGTCCCTTATACCCATGTTGAGCTCAGACACTCTGACATGCTTAAGCATTTCAAGTCTGCGGTTGGAAAGAAGTTCAAGAGTTGCAATCTTTCTCATTTCACGCCAAAAGGGGCTATAAGGAGCAAAACCAAACACTGCATAGTTGTAACCCATGTGCTTTGCAGCAACTGTTGTGGGACGCGAGGCAAGTGCCTTGTCATTAGTTGTGAAGCATTCCTTTGCCACTTCACAGCTACTCACTACAAATGCTCTGCGACTACCAAGCCAGATATTAAATGCTGGCCCATATTGATCAGCCATTGCTCCGAGTGTTCGATAGAGAAGCTGATCATCACCACCCAAAAGGTGGAGGTGACCAATAACTGGCAAAGCACCAGCTGGTACAGGAGCATCTTCACTCTTGCCTTCTCCTTTAATCCTCCTCTTTCCCACAAAAGCATACCACAGAAATAACAAGGACACCAATATGGCAACTATAGTTAATTCCAAAGAGGGATTCATGGTTTAGAACATAATGCACATAATGGAGATGGCTCAATCATTTTATATTGCAAATCTGACCGAATTTAATAGCGTGAAGCATGCTGAATCTTAATAAATGGTTTCTGGCCAGCCTTCTTCTTACCCTGTTTTCCGTTGACCAAATAAAACAACATCAACTGTAGATCACTCGATATTTCAAACTATATCAGCTAAGCCACTAGGTGAGAACTTGGGATGTGACAGCTTTTTATCAACCACCTACTACTAAAGGCGCACAAATCATTGATCGTGCCATTTCCTATTATCAATTATTTTATATGAGGAAGTAAGCAGGGGATGATGATAAGGGATGATATCATGATCACGGTGTGATGGGTGCCATTTTATCAATCGATTGATTCACCGAGTTAATGATCAGAATGAGACCAGACAATAATTAGTTCAATTAGTGTTCACAAAGCATAATTATCGATTATTCAACCGCTTTGTCTCCTGTGGAAAATGAGATCGAATCAAGAATTGCTCCATCACCCATGTCACTCATGGAGAATGAATATAAACTATAAAGAAACATTAAAATTTTATTAGAGAATAATATAAATTATTAAAAAAAATTCTCACTTCAAATCTTAAGTTAAATTAGTTCTTTATCAACTGTGGTGACACTATTAGAGCTTTGGTAGTGACACCATTAAAAGAGCCCTTAACCACACCTTAAATTTTTGGGATTAAATTTATTCTTTACAAATTTAACTAAATGTTATTCCAGTAAATTGCGTAAAAAAGAGTGGTAGCAAAATATTACATCATCATCTCAGTTGGCGTTACTGTTGAATCCTTGTTTAATCAAAACATTAATAATCAAATAAAGCGTTCTTTGCTTACGTTTTTCTTTTAATCGTTTACATTAGAAATGTAAGTGAGTTAAACGAATATATTACATTAAGAAAAATTCAAGACTTCATCTTTACAAATATTCTTTCATAAAATTCCCATGCAATTTAATAAATTTATTACATAACACATTGGTGCTCGCAGTATAATTAGTAATAAAAGATTTAGAGGCTGTAAGGAGTTTATAATAATAAAATTTTTGTAAGCATCATTTCTTTGGGTAGTGACAACTTCTATAATTAAAATTTTTGACCCTGTTGATCGTAACATAAGTTTATAAATTTTTTTAATGTTTTATCATCGTCCAAATAGGACGTGAACGGCTGGAAGTTTTATTTGTGTTTTTGGACATTTATAAGGCCGAAGCTTAATGGGCTTTCGCTTATTTGGGCCACCGCTGTGGGCATACAAAGAAAAATTGCACAAATGGGCCCAGGCAAGTTGTATGTCAAGACTCGGGAAACAATGAAGTCACGAACGAGTTTTACTAAAACAATGAAGTCACGTAACAGCAGAAAGATTTACTAAATCTTAAATTGTAAAGAACCTTCGAATACACCACCCAAAAGCTAGTTCAAAGGGTGGAAATGTCTAAGACCTTATAAACTACACATTAGTTGCACATACAACCGATGTTGGACTATATATCTTAACACGCCCCCTCACACGAGAGTCCATTGGGCTTGAAGAGTGGACAATGCAACAGGCCCAGCCTACCTGTGTTAAGAAACGTCACAAGACAAAGTGGGGGCGGCGAGACTCTGATACCATGTAAAGAACCTTGGGATACACCACCCAAAAGCTAGCTCAAAGAGTGGGAGTGCCCAAGACCTTATAAACTCCACGTTAGTTGCACATACAACCAATGTTGGACTATATATCTCAACATAAAGTTAGAAGTAAAAGCAGAGGGTGAGATATACAGAAGGAAAGGAATTTTAGGGCCCCGAATATTATTTTTAAAAACAATTAGAAAAAAAAACACACACAGTCAAACATACAGTTTAGGGAGAGTATTGAAAATAAAACTGATGTATCGCTTTTCCCGTATGGATCATTGTAATTTGTGAAAAAAGAAAAAAAAAATCCATCCTCTCTTTTTTTTTCTTTCTAAAAAATATAAATCTCTTGGATACTAATATGATCTGAGAACGATATCATGATAGTCTCGCATAAATCTTGACCCACTCCCGAATGGATATGGGTCCTCCTCTGAACAATTACAACGCATATGGTCCATGGTCTGAAAGAGCCATTATACCTTGCACTGAAAATGACATCAAAGACGATTCCCTGAATTTTTTGGACTAAAGCAAATGTTTCGTAGCAAGGATTTATCCCATATTCCCTTATTTCATGTTCCAGACAAAACTCATAAAGATATATCATATATGTATATCATGGATCAACAAAGCCATTCATACCAAATATATATATAGTTCCTCTCTCTTCCTCCATTAATTTGATGTAGGAGTAGTGCTTAATTAAAAGGGTTAGTATATAGTTAATTAACACTTGAGAAGAGTTAACTCTCTGGATGATTCCGCGTGGTCTGTTTGCAAAGCGGGCCTTCCAAGGGTGAATTCTAGGTCAAGCATCACCTCGGAACGTGACAAAGAGCTAGAATCCAACCTCTCCTTCATGCAATTAGACAGGCCTCCATATTTCCGTCCACCCTCCTGTTTAAATAGTATTACGTACAATGATGTAATAAACTATTTCGTAAATATATATAGTACATATTAGAAAAATCTAAAACGAAACTCTAATCCATGTTTGGTTCAGTTCTGAGTCTATGGGTGCCAACTTACCATGGTTTGGTTTCCTTTCAGATCAGAGTACATCAAACTGACTACAGGTTTTTGTCTATAGTTATTTGTATTTGTCTCCCTTGATGTTTGCCATGATGCCCTGAGTGTGTAAAGAAGGTAAACATGTTTTAAAGCAACGAAGGAAATGGTTAGCCTATTTTAGCACTCAATTGTGGCAAGCAAAACACCAGGCCCGAATTCGAAATAAATATGATTAATCACAATAGCTAGCATTGTTAGCTGTTTATGATTGACTTTTGATGGTAACATGGCAATTAATTACTGTCAACATCCAAATGCTTCAAATTGCCAAGTAACTTGGAGTAAGATTTGGAAACTGGAAAGCACAGTAGTATATTTTGTTTTTATGAAGAGAGAGCCGGAAAGGGAAAAGAAAAATGTTGGCATCTAATAATCACCATCATGAGAGGAGCTAAGCTAATGATGTTGGTAATCTTAATTTTGCAAAGCTAAACTTGAACGTAACCACTTGTTACAGCAACAATTTAATTCAGAATAAAAAACGATTAACAGAGCTGAAGAAAGATTAGGTGAAAATAAATAAATTTCTCCATCATTTCAGCTATGCCTCAAAGGTCTACGTGTCTACCGACCTTTTTATAGTTTAATTATATCACGTCACCCCCGGGGGTACATTTAAAAAAATAAAATAAAATTGTATGAACACATTGATATTTGCAGTAGATGCTGCTGCTAACCAATGTGAGACTATATATCTCAACACGCCCCCTCACGCAAGAGGCTTTTGGGCAAGAAGAGTGGAATAATGTGGGACTATATATCTCAACACACCCCCCCTCACGCAAGAGCCTTTTGGGCAAGAAGGGTGGAATAATGTGGGACTATATATCTCAACACACTCCCTCACGCAAGAGCCCTTTGGGCAAGAAGGGTGGAATTGCACAGGCCCAATTTTTGGTTTACCTTTTGTGCTTTTTTTTTTTTTTAATTCCACTTTAAAGTGAGAGGCGATGAGGGCTCAAGCTCTGATACCATGTAAAAAACCTTGGGATACACCACCCCAAAAGTTAGCTCAAAGGGTGGGAGTGCCCAAAACCTTATAAACTCCACATTAATTGCACATCTAACCAGGACTATATATCTCAAGAGGGATGAATACACAATCAAACGGACGAACAATGCAAAGGAGTCATTAAGGATGTAATAAATGACCACCCACACATACCTATAGAACCCCTAGGTTGTTTGTCAAGATCTATCCACTGGTAGACTAGTTATCATTCAACCCCATAATAAGAAAGATATAATCAAAGGCAGACAGGAAATTGTCAAAAAAAGAAAAAAAAAAAAAAAAGGGACTAAACACGAGGCATTTGTGAATCTTCGTGCATGTACGTTAACATGCTTTAATGTCCCTTTAATTGAATCAGTCAATAATTTAATTTTATGTTCCCATTAATTTTGCAAGGAGAAGACAATATTGACCAAAGTATATCCACGTACGCACACAAAACTAAAAGTAGAGGAGAGAAAAGGTGTAGAATTCAATCACCTCTGGGATGTTTGCAATGGCTGTGGCAAATTGCCTCTCTCACAAGCTGAGACTGATCCATGCAGATCGACAATCCGTGTCCTTTGGTTGAAGCCCATATCTGTCTGCCCATGACCTGCGATTTCATCACCGAAAGAACCATTGCACTTGCTTTATCAGACACCAGCTTAATAATTCACATGAAGACTTACAAGTCAGTCCGATCCTAACCCAACTTTTGTTTTTGATGGGGAACACGGAACTAGGGCGAATCATAGAGCGTCTGTCACACTCGAATCGCCGAAGATCTCAAACAAATAGAATAACAATAATATAAGAAACGAAATGGGGTCATTGAGAGGGAACATGACAATTACCTGTGCCTTTGTCAGTGCTCTTCACTGTTCTATACATCTGCATGAACACCGGCATGAAATAAAAATGAGAAGAAAAGTCCACAAGGCTAAGATTACCAACTAGATAGTAGATACCCCCTTTGTCCTTAGTCCTTGTTCTAGCTTCCCCACTACTGGAGGCAACTTTGTTTCGAAACAACTAAGAAACTTTATTTGTTTATTTTTGTCTATTATATTTAGAAAATAAAAAAGGAAAACTCATTAACCCCACCTGCAAGTGACTCTTGACGTGAGCTAGGGTTAGATCCTTAACATTCATTAACTCTAACACAGACTTAGGAGTTGCCCCTGCGATTGACAAGACAACCCAAAATCAGGCATAACCTAGTTATACTGTCCAAAACAAATAAACTGCATTTCAACCTTTATATAGAGTAATGAAGAAATTGATTATCAAACTTTTATTGATTTACTTTCATGACCACCAAGAAGCTGAACTGCGTGGACAAAATGAGCATGGAGGGTTGTAGTCCATCTCATTCTAGGAGCTCTGATGCTTCTTTTCACACCATGAATGACTCTAGCATTTCGTTTGAAATCGCGGCTATAGATGTGAGGTTGGTAGCTGTGGATGTGATCATTAAAGTTTCTTGAGAGTCCTCGTGCTGGATGGGGATTCAAATCTTCCGTTTCAAAGCCTAAGCTCAATGTTGGTTCATGATGACCAAGTTTATAGACAGTTCCCTTGTGGGAAAAGCCATTTTCATGGCTTGAATCACTTCCACTGCTACCTGAATCAGAGGTTGAGCACATGTCGTTGTAAAGCGTTTTGCTAGTTAATGTTAATCCATTGTAGCTTCCCACTTCTTTGGCCTCAGAATCTGAAATGAAAGGCGGGCTTATGTTTAAGGAGAGGTCTGGCTCTGGCAAAGGCGCTAAAGTTTGCATTACTGTATGGCAAGTAGTGTACATGGGGATGGTAGAGATCTGAGTCAGTTAAAGAAACATAAGAAAGGAAAAGAATGAGAGTTTAACTAAGGATGTGAAAAAAGGATCTAGTGAAGCAAATATAGTAAGCAGGAGGAGCTGAGCTATGAAGAGGAGAATGAAATGAATTGAAAGAGCTGAAGGGTAGTTTTATGCTGTGTTTTCTGTCATGACTGCCTTATGATTTGCATTGCTTTCGTAAGAGGAGCTGATAGCCTTTTAGTAGCATCTCACTAGGGATGAAGGAAGACCGTACTGAAAGTTTTAAAGCAGTGACGAAACAATTGCAGAGACTACTAGTCACTAGTCATAATAGATTAAAAATAAGCTGGGAAATAGAAAAGATTAGAGTTTTTTTGGGGATGGTGGTTTGAAAGAAAAGGTAGTGAAAAGGGAAGTAGTTATTTATGGTAGCTGAGAATTATTAGTACTCAAAGGACTAAGCACAGAGAAAGAGATGGAAAGGAGGAGCCTGGAGCCTGTGGCCCGTTCCCCTTATCTGTATAATACTATAAAGGTACAATACAGGTAATTTATTTATTTTTAAATAAAAAAAAGAAAAAGAAAATGAGGATGGAGAGATATAATGGTGGTTCTGCCAGGAATAGTTGGAATTCGAGAAAACCAAAATGGGTGCTATTCAAGGGAATATTGGAATGGGAATTGAGTCTCTCTTTACGTTGATAGATCGCGACGACACATTAAAATTCCCTGCACTTTTTGTTTCTATAACAAGGTTTAATTTAGTTTATCTCTTTTTAATACCATTTCTTGAATTGGAATATTCCCATTTTATTATGAACGAGGATTGACTGGCAGGCCAAGGTATACCTGTTCTAAACTGATCCTGACACCCATTGCTCTGTTTCTTGCAGATGCGGCATCAAAACCTCATCAGCTTCTGTCTTCCATTGTCTAGCTTTATGTAATAAATTCATGTATGTATTTTCCAATCCATCAAATTAAGAAAGATAGCACAAGTATGGGAACAAGTGATGATCATGTTTGAACAGAATACCTTTTAGACCTTGTTTTAAAGTTTGCGAATAATATAACAAAGTCACAAATAACATTATAAAATGAAATAGAATAAAACGGACGCAATATCCTACAAATAATGTTCTCTTAAATTAAAAGTATTCATAAAAATTAAAGAGGAAATAATCAGGATAGTAAGGTGTATGAATATAAGTCAAGGTGAATAAATATATAAGTCTAACCTTCGCTTAATATCTAGTCTTGGTTGGTAAGCACGTATGGTATGGAATCACCAATAAACGTCGAGCTGTTCACGTGCGAAAACCCCCAATGTAACTAGAAACATATGGAATAAAAAATAATTGTTCCTCGTGAGAAATACAAATACTGTAAGAATTAAGGGAAAGGAATATGAGTATATATATGACTATGAGTGTGTGTCAGAGTGGCTATTATGTCCGGCGACACCAGGTCGCATACCCACATGTGGATTCCATATTTGAAATCTCCTTGCGTTCCCTCTCACGCGCATCTAATGTATTAGTGATCAATGAGAAATGACTGTACTAATATTGTCTAGTCTTAAATTATAATATTAATAAGATGAATGATCCATTTATAAACTTTTTTTACAAATTACACTAAATATGATCGGTTATACATTCTTAGTTGAAGTATGACCGGCCATACTTTGTATAATTCGGAAGAGTCTGTAAATAAAAAATTTGTAAATAAAATCTTCCCTTATTAATAATAATAAAATTAATATGAAGCTACGGTATTCTGATATATATTACGGTTATTATTAAGTGTTAATTCATTTATGATTTTATGAAAAATATTTTTATGCAAAATATTCAAAATATTTTTATGCAAAATATTCAAAATATATTAAATATAACTAATGTTTGACCTGAATACCAAACTAACTAATAATATCGTCAAATTAACTTGCGGTTTACTGCACAAAACTAAAGAAACTTCTAAGAAAAGAAAGGGAAATGAGTTAGGATGAGTTTGTACCGAGCCATAAATCACTTAATGTTTAGACGACATGATGTTCAATTTGTTATTGGTGCTAGTGTAAAATCTGTGTTTTTGGTAACGATAGTATCAGTGAAATCATAAAGATCACATGCAATTACAAAAAATTAAAATGTAATATGCAAGACATAAAAGTTGTAGAAAATCAAACTCGAGCCTAGTATTAGATATTGTGTCCTTAAGATAATTTTGTCCTTTCAATGGTGCCTAAGGTTTGTGGACGAATGCCTCCCAAGATAGAACGAGCTTCCTCTGTTTCGACGGTGGCACTATCAGAAGAAACATCACCGACGAACACAACGATTGGCAATCAATCGCACAGAATGAATGCAAAAGATTTCAAAAAATATTTTGACAGAGTTTCGGTACAAGAGAGAAATCAAAAAAGCCTATTGTTTTTTCTGATTTCTTTCCATATTATAAACCATGACTGGTAACGATGAATGATGTCTATTGGTAGTGAAGAGTCGTGTCTATTCGGCAGTAAAAAGTTTTATCTGTTCACCCGTGAAAAGTCACGTCTCTTAGACAATGAAAGGACACATCTCTTCACACTCAACTCCTTATTCATAACATTTGAATCCAACACAATGATATTGTAACATTAGAGTAGACTTAATACGGATTACTTTACTTATAGTTTAATAAGTAAAATGATTGATTTAATTTCGATCCAACAATTATAAAAATGGTTGTAAGGAAAAATAAATTGTAAATATAACGATCCCGTTGATTTCATTTATATATCCTGATTTTACTACTTAGGCGTGAATGTAAATAGATATGCATGAAGATGAGCCGGCAAGAAGCATTTTTCAATTATGTTATTACTAATCCTGTTAGGCGGACTCCAATATTCTCTCTCCGTGTTCAAATAATTCATGTCTAATGTCTAAAACGCCGTTGAGTAACCAAACTCACCTGTCGTATGGAACCTTCAAAATGAAAATGGAATAACATTATAACAATACCATATTCGTAGGCGTCAACATGGTTTCCATCACGTGACTTGTGGACCTAACCTTGTCTAGGCGATAGGCTCTTGTTATGTTCTCTTCTCTTGGTCTTATATTCTCCCTCGTGGGCCTCAACACTTAATAAAATACGATGGCATCGTTGTTGTACTCACTGCCTCTCCATTGCTTTAATTATGCTTGCACCCCGATGCCATGCTATTCCCTCTTCCTCTTTTGTTTATTACATCCTTCTTAACGTCACAACAAGATCAATGGCAATATCTTAATCATTTCTTAATAGTTTCCAAACGCGGTCAGCGCCTGATGCGCTCTAGATTCTCCGGGAAATGAAACTTACTTTCGTTTATTTTTTCTATAGCACTAGTTTATTCACGTTAATATACTCTCTCTCTCTCTCTTAAGGGGAAAAAAAAAACGATATATACTTATATAGACTTTTCAAAGATAAGTTCTATGGTTGCATTGCGATGTTGTCAAACGCTTTGGCTATATTCCATATGACATACGCTTGTCTCATAAGAACCCACTTTCTAGATATAATGCTTCTAAATCGATTTAGATTCTTTTTTTTTTGTTGATTTGGAATCAGTTTTATATCTTCATGATAAATGCAATAACCTATATGATAATGATATTATAAATCGAAACCCTTCTCAAGGATGAATTGTTGAATTATGTTCTCCCCTTCCAAACATTATAAATTCTAGGGTTTATTATATTTTATTCCTCTAGTTTATCACTTTGACTATACTTTTTAACCTTCATTTATTAAATTTAACACATTATATCTTAAATTGACTATCCTTGATATAATAAAATAGACATGAGTTTGAACATAAAAGTCCAATCCAAATACAAATTTGCTTATATATATATATATATATATATATATATGTCTAAATGTTATTTATCTGCTTCTTTATTTAGCCAATGAAATTTTCTATGGAGTTAGTTTATATTTAGACATTACTAAACCAATACTAAGATGATTTGGAAATTGGAACAACTACGCATAAGGTACGAAAACTATAGTATATAATATTTATTTTGAATGAATAAAAAATAAAATAAAATTTCAAGTCTTTATAAGCGCGGGATAATTTTTGTCATTCAACTTTTCAAGTGTATTTTCCTATTAAAATTGTGTACATGTGCATTTTAAAATATTAATATTAACGCCTAAATATAAATGGACTCTGTTAAATTAAGATGATAAACTATTTAATTTAATAAATTAAAGATAAAAGGAACTTTTTTTGGAGATATATTAATCGATTTATCGCTTCGCGACTAATCCGATTCGGAGCGGGTCCTGCGATTAAGCCTTTAAACTCCTCTCAAAAATGATACTGGAGAGAATTGAATATATGCTCTCACCCTCACTTTCTCAATTCTCTGGTGTCAACTGATCTACTATCATTTGTTAAAAGAAAAAGTTCGTACAAAGTGATGAGTTTGTATGTAAATGTATAAAAAAGCTTAAATTTCAGTATGTGAAGATTATAATGCTCTTTAAATTAAATCACTAATGAATGCATCCTTATCTATGTACTTTCTCAATGAATTTGTTTTTTGTGGGTAGTTTTTAAACGAATTCATTTCTAAAAGAATCTGATCTAAAATAAAAAGTAATTTCTTTTTAAATTTCCCTACGGATTCATTAATTATTTGACTGATCAAATTCAAAGTTAGCGGTTAAACATGAATAATTTCGTACTAATTGATTCACATATATATTCAGTCATAATAAAAATTTAAATTATTAGTTAGGAGATAAAATTTTGTTTGATTTAATTTCTTAAATTCAAGAAGCATGATGGAGATAGCAATAGCTATAGTGCATATCATGCAAGAACAGAGATGATCTAAAATCTTGTAGGCATTAGTAAATTATTTACTATATATCGCTACTGACTCGGCATGGCTAGCTGACGCTTAATGTCTTACCATACTTGCCATTCTGACTCATATGCGGACTGCTATTCG